AATGCCTCGTTTATAATGGGTTTTCATGTTTTTGAATCATCGCTCCGGCCTGACAGGGCATCATCACAATATGGCAAGGGGCGTAACATTTTCGTCACGCGCTTGATGTATTCGGCCAATCATAACGCACTGGATAGCTGGCCAATCAGAGCACACCTCACTTTTCAGAACGATGAGCTTTGTAAAAATCGTCGCGTTTCAGAAAAGTGGGGCATAGAGGAGAAACAATAATGTACAGTATGTGGAAAATAATGTGTTTTTTTAACCTTAAACCGCATAAACACATTTCATTACACCAAATACACCAAATAATTTTTTTTTGTTTTTAGCAACATCATATGACCCTTTTAAAGATGTTGATGCGTTTGTTTTGAGACAGCTTTCAGTAATTTCACATTTTTAGGTGAACAGTTTTATGTGACCTCATATATGTGCAAATGTATGTGTTTGTAGTTCGGCCCTGTGCTGTCGAGCTCCCTCGATCCCTGAGTCTCAGGATCTGTCTCGCTCCTCGTCCAATGCCAGTAGCTTCACCAGCGTGGTGGAGGAGAACGAGCAGGAACATGAAGTTACAGAGGACTATGACACAGGACTGGTGCGGTCACATACACATATGACTCACATACACATAATTGATCAATACATGACTCACATTTTACTTAAAAGATAGGTACATTGTGGTCAAAATGTTCTAAAGCAGAGAACACCACGTGTATTTAGACACCCATACTATTCGCGGGTAAATGCATACAGGCGTAATGGAATTTGTATTTAATTGTCTGAACAGAAGTATCAATACACCTATATGATTTGGCAAGACTGGCTGGTTCTGTTGTTTGCATATGTTTTTCATTTTTCTGGAACACAGGAGAGTCTGTCTTCAGCCGGTACGCCTCACAAACGAGATTCGTTTACATACAGCAGCGTGTGGTTGGAAGACAGCCCTGGTACTACTAGTCAGAGCAGTTCACACGGTGAGACAGAACAAACATTTCACCTCCCAACAAACCCAAGCACATATCTATTATACTAAAAAGATTACGTAATAATCATTTATGTGTTCGACTGTTCGATTTTCGTGCACGTAAAATGCTGCATTGAGGAGATTATCTTATGTGTTCACTATACTTTGAGATGTCATTCAGAAGAGAGATAAAAGCTATTTTTAACCTGTTGCACCCATAATTTGCAACTGCACTTCAGTCTGTGTAGCATGAGCAAATATTGTATCATAAAAAAGACTAAGGAAAGAAGGACATCGCAGAATATACATGATGAAATTGGAGACAAGGCCCAGATTAGAGCCAGTATTATTTTAGTTTTAGTTTTTTTTTTAAATACTACTGTTTTAGTATTTATTCATATTTTGAATTAGCTTTTATTTTTATTTATATGAGTTTTCATTTTAATTGTTTGAGTTTATATTGTTTGTAATCGTGTTAAGGCTTTAACAGTCATCTGTTTCACTATAGGTCCCTTTCGACAGCAATCTGAACCTCGTCCTAAAACAGAGAGACAACACTCGGTAAGAACATGCTAGTCATGAAGATGCCATCTATATCAGCTGATGTATAAATCTCAATTTCGAAAAATTGACCCTTATGACTGGTTTTGTGGTCCAAGGTCACATATAGTCCTACAGGCAGAGCAGAATAACAATGTCCTAGAAAGAAACGGTCATGCTTTGACTTTAAAGGGGTGATATAGAAAACTATCGATCAATTTATACCTTGAATAATGTTATAAATTGATCGATAGTTTTCTATATCACCCCTTTAAAGTCAAAGCATGACCGTTCTCACTGTACCAGTGTAATTGCTCTTGAACATCTGATTTAATGTAGTTTTTCTTTGTATTTGTTTTGTTCTGTGCGTGTTTATCCTACATAGAACTGCTAGCTGTCCTGTAGGCTGTAGATGACTTCATGGATGTCCATCAACAGGTTAGGAACAGCAAAAATGTGGATTGTATGTTAGGATGATGTGTTTATTGGGCTTATATGGCTGTGTCGTTTAATTATATTTGCGTTGTTATAACTCTTAATGACCTAATTTGATCCCTTTTTGTTAAGTTAGTTGTATTGCTGTTTGTAATGTAGCATGACATTTAGAAAATCACACTAGCGTTCAAAAGTTTGGGGTCAGCAAGATATTTAAGATTGTTTTTGAAAGAAGCTGATACTTTTATTCAGCAAGGATGAATTACATTGTGACAGTAAAGAATCCTGAAAAAGTATCACATTTTTCACAAAAATATGAAGCAGCACACCTGTTTTCATCATTGAGAATAATAAGAAATGCTACTTGAGCAGCAAATCAGCATATTAGAATGATTTCTGAAGGATCATGTGACACTGAAGACTGGAGTAATGATGCTGAAAATTCAGCTTTGCATCACAGGAATACATTTCAATTTAAAATATATTCAACTAGAAAACTGTTCTTTAAACTGTAATAATATTTCAGTGTCCACTGTTTTTACTGTATTTTTGTTCAAAGAAATGCAGCCTTGGTAAGACTAAGACACTTCTTTCAAAAACATTATACAATCTTGTAAAACGGATAGTTCCAGTCCTTGATTCTGATTGGTTGAGCCGTGTTCGAAGCTGTTGTAAATTACTCTACGGCTGCATCCGAAAGCCTAGGCAGCTGACTTGCTGCCTTATGAGGCGTTGACTTTGCAGGCAGCGTTTTTGCACGAAGGCACCTCATGAAACTGATTTCGGACAGGCTTCTGATGCAGCGTAACGGTTTAATGATCTACAACAAAATAGAACGAGTTTTGATGATAACTAAACAAATATTTAATTATTATAATACTGATTTCTTGGTAGAAATAACATCAAAAGTGCAAAAAGTTAGTCAGAAACATACATTTACACACAAACTGACCACCAAACGCAACTTTCAGACTTTTTTTATCCCAATCGTCACGGAATGGAACGCACAGGATTGTAGGATATCAAAGGCAGCGAAGGATACATCTATGCTGCCTTCAAAATTCGATCAGAAGAAGGTACCTTCGGAGACAGGAAGTGAAGCAGAATTTATATTCGGACGTGCCTTCATGCCTTGAAATGCTGCCTCCGAAGGCAGCATTTTAGAGCTTTCACACTGCCTGATTGTCACTCGCGTGAACGAGCACCGATTTGCCTCCGATGTGAACTCGGCATTATGTTTTATATAAAATATATTATATTTTCACTCGCCGACAGGTTTTGCGAAATCGCCGACAAATGGCCGAAATCGGAGGCAAATCGGTGCTCGTTCACGCGAGTGACAATCACGCAGTGCGAA